CAGTGAGCTTGCTGTACCTGTACAGTATTTTCTCTGTGCGCATCTGTTAATTTTAGGCCATGCTTGCAAGAGATAACCTTGAGCTTTTATTTTGTCGGAAACTTCAGTTGAGCTTTTATTTTGGCGGAAAACTCCAGCTTCTGTGAAAACAGGTTTACAAACATTACTAATTTAATGAAATACTGTAAACATTTGCCCATTAAAATGTTGAAAATTATGCAAATGTGCAAATTATGCATACCGTGGCCGTGGCGTACCCAAACGCCTGCTAAATTTACAGCACATTCAATAACGGAGTTCACTGCATTCACTGTGAACGGAGCCGCTCAGAGAGACTGAGATGAGGAAAACACCGGATCACGAGCCGATCGCGTGCGCAATGTGCGCGCTTCACTTTGAAACAAGCAGCGCAAACAGACTTGATAAGTCATATTATTCGCTTTCGGTTTTAATTCGTTTGACAGATACTTGCCAAAGCAATGGCGTGAAACACAACGTTAAATAACTTTTTATGTTATATGAGAGGTATAAATATATCTTCGGTGTATTATGAAACCGTGACGGAACAGATTAGACTGTGGCGGGCCGCCACACTCTAGTTAATGTATGGGAAACACTGGCTACAATAGAGGGCTGAATATTTTCACCAAATAAGTACTTAAATTTTGCTCTGTTTCTCACACAAAGCTATCATATTGTTTTAGAACACTTAAAATATAGTACATAAATTATATAGACTGCAATTATGGTACTTTAATGCTGCTCTTTGTCCTTTTTTTGAGCTTGACAGCTCAAGATGAAAAGGTAAGAACCTTTTGTGTTACATACTGTAAGTTGTCAAGTTTTTATATAATTTAGATATTTTTTTAAAGTAATTTATGCAATTTAACAGAAGCTGACCCAAAAAGCTCAAAGATTCAAATGTATGTGCAAATGATGATAGTGAGTGTGTGATGACCATCTCTTAATGTCATGTGAAATGCATGTGAAAACCCATATACTGTATTTCCATGCTACTCTTTTTCCGCTGTCTTTAAGGTTGCCGGTCAACTACTTTTCTTTTTTCTTGTTTTTTTGGTGCATTCACCAACACTCTACAATTGTAGTGCACTCTGGAGAGAATAACTAATCACAGGGCTGTCACTGTGATGTATGATATTTATGCTCTGAAGCTATATAACATTGTTGCTACTGCATTTCTTGGCTAGAATGCACATGTGCAACATGTTTGTTCTTAGTGAAAATACAGTAAAAATGCAGTGAAAGTTTTGCTTTTTAAAACAATGTCAGCACTTTAGTTTGGCAGTTGATATGCCGTTGGCATGCAGTTGGCATTTCCTATGAGTCTTTGTTTCTGTCAGAACTCATTGGTATGGGTCGTGGGGTTAGACGGTTGGAAGGCAAAGGTTATGGATCTTGAGATTGCTCAGTGTTGCGAGCATTTTGAGCATTGTCAGACATGACTCACTTTGGTCTTGATCTTTTTTGATGAGTCAACAGCATGTCATAGACTCTTTAAGGGAGTATATAAAAAATATAAAAATATATTTTTATGTCCAGTTTATTTAGTGAGTGTTTTTCAATGGTTTGTCTGAGCTAGCTGGCAGTGAAGAGTATAATCCGTCATTGAAGCACTTACATTTTTTAATTGTGGCTTTCAAACTGACTCCAACTACAAAGTGCAGTTAAATGACTAAAAGCAGCCTGAATTTGTCATACATGTCATCATAAAAATGTTCCATCATCAGCCAAATTCTGCAATACCAGCCCATGTGCTGAAAATATTTGTATTGGTTTTATTGTTTTGTTGAGTAAATTAGCCCACTAGAATGGCATTCCAGTTTACCAGTGTTAATTCATGTTCAGCTTAATTTCAGATAGATTTGTTCTTTATGTTATTGACTTTGATTATTGACACTGTCACGATCTCCAGCTGGAGTGCCCATGAGCTCCTCTAGTGGGCACTCCATCCCATACCTTTACCACTCAATCCCAGACTAGGAACTGATTACAGACACACATGATTTCCATTAGGAGTACTATTTATGTTACACACACACCTTGCCGAGTCTTGTTTTGCTGTTTCTAAGCATACATTCCGTTCTGGACATTTCTAAGCATGTCCTTGTTTTCCTGTTTCCTTGCCTTGCCTTGCCTTTGTGTTTTTGAATTAGGATTGTTCCCTGCAGGCCCGGATTGGCTAATCGGGAGCACCGGGAGTTTTCCCGGTGGGCCGGTCTGTTTTTTTGGCCACGAGAGCCGGTGTTGTCATGCCACTGGGGTTGAAATATGAATGCTGTCCTTAGGATGCCTGGACTGCCCCACTCTTTTTATTTATTATTTTACCGCAGCCCCACTCGCAGGGTTGCCAGCCGTTCCTTATAATACGGAATCGTCCCGTATTTAAGGCATCAAAGAAGCGTTCCGTATGAAAGCTATACGGAATGCAGTTTGTCCGCGTTTTGATTTTGCTAA